AAACTGGCACTTAGTCGGGGTAAAGTGGGAAATATTTAGCGGCATCGGAATAGCATAAGTTTTCTCCTGACATTGATAATTTTTAATTTGACATGACCTGTGACGTCCCCAGTGACATCAAGGCTACCTACTAATGCAAGATTTCGTTCGAAAGTAGCTCTTGAGCTATCAAATGCATTTGAATGTTGAAAATTGGACTACATAGTACCAGAGATAGGATGTAGCTTCAGAGATAAGATGGGGTAGGTACCGCCCCGGCCCCCTTTCCCAGTCACTCGCGTTATGGAGTACCTACCTATAGGTATTCTATAAGTCTATCGGCACCCCAGTCATGCGTGGGTTGAGTTCGCTTAACGTTAAATGTATTTTCCGAGGTCAATTCTTCTTTTTTCTGGGTTTATTTAACCCTATTAATGGCAGGCTCTTGGCTACCCCTATTAGTGGCAGGGGGAGGGGGCTGTTTAGGACCCCTTTGCTATATCGAGATCTAACAGGCCGAATTTCAAAATTCAAACGGCATTCGATTCAACTCAACGTGATCTCGCTCGCCGGGCATTTATGTGCCGGGCTACCACCGCCTGGAACCGCCTGCCAGCCGAGCTCAGGAGGAGTCGTTTATTGTGTCACCCACGGAGGTGAATCGCGAGACATGGGGAGTAGATGTGCTCAGTTTTATCGCATTTTAGCAATTTATAGTGATTTTTAAACCATCATTTTTTCGTGTTTTATGAACATGCCCACTGTGTTTAACTACTGTACTGACTCTGAAATCGGAAGAGCCACGATGTGGAGATTTTTATGAATACAATACATACCTACATACATACATACATCTACATTTTGAAAAAGAAAAGTTCAAAACAAATAGGGGAGGGGGCAGTAGGGGAGTATAACTGCAAACCTTAGAGACTTTTTCAACTGCTCAACACGGCCATGTTTTTCAACTAATTTTGATCCAACGACTGCCAATCGATGCAGAATGAACCGGAAATTAGCATGCGTCATTAGCAAGCATGCGTCTTGTGGAAGGCTCTTTAATAAACTACTACATTAAAATGGGCATTTCGAAAAATCATAGGCGAGGCGGATCCTAAATGTATTTGGGAGCCTGGGAGGAACTTAAAATATATAAGAATTCGGGTTTTCCGTTGTGGCATTACCAAAACGGATTGGCAATGGTCTTTTGATGTTACAAAATGTGTGATATAATGACTAAAAGTAGATTGGCAATTCATAGGCGGCGTCAGGGCACCGAAGTTGGGAGATGAAATCGACCTCCCTTTCTGCTTTCCTGGAACCGCCTATGATCCATCTCTTGCTCCCTTGTGAACCTGTGATACCTCCAAATAACGCTGATCCACATACATAATGAATACCTTCAGTTATAATGCATCAGCGCAGTGATCTTTATCCAAATGACTCACTTCATGAATAGGACCTCCCCATTCCCGATGCCCTGAACCGCCCCTGATAAAGGTATCAACTTGAAAATTTGAGAGGATGTGCCCAGTTTAGTTCTAAGAAAAGTCAGAAAATATCAGCATCCTAGCTCCAGCCGTTTCGAAGATATTCTCGAAAAGCCTGAGGGATGGATAAAAACATTCGCCCTGCCACTAAGGGCTAATCTAGCGCAGTACCGGCGGAACACCTTCAGTTAAGAGGGGGCACTGCCGACTTTTGGTCCCATTCTTTCCATGCAACGCCCATAGGGCTAATGTTGAAATGTCAAAATCAAAGGGGGGCACGGTGCCCCGGTGCCCTCCCCGTTCCGCCGCCTATGATCTAGCGTACCTTTCTCAACTTACCGAATTAAGAATTAACAAGTGGTGTTTGGTTTGCTAAGTCTATGTCATGTATGTGATTGGGCTACGTTTTTGGCCCACTTTCCCTGAACTTTTGTAATGCTGCCAAATGAAAAATATTGTCTAGGTTCTCGTACGAAGTTTGGACTTTGGAGCAAAAACGTCTTTTTTAACCCACGCCGGACCGGTGCTCTGCGACTTCCGCGCCGGGCCGTGGAGAGGCGGGGGGGGGGGGCTGAACATCCCCCTTCTAACTCGGCTCCTGGGCTACGTAGCGACACGCGGTAAGCGGTATTCGAAAGAACGTTCAAAATAAGGGAGAACGTTCTTTCTTTCGTTGTTGAGATATCTGCGAAAAATCGCAGGAGGCGTGTTCAAACACCCCCCCCCCGGCCCAGCGCGGGTCAAAATGCAATTTGCGAAAAATCAACAGACGATAAAACGAACCAAGAAGGACCATAACGTGTGCAATGGAATGGTCGTGCTAGACATGCTTCAGCCTTTGCATACCAACGCAAAATGTTGGCTCTGGAGGAAGATTTGTATTTTTTTTTTCACGAAGTTACCTCTCAACATTGTAAATCAGTCGATGCGCATTGACTTGTCGATTTCGCTGGTGCTTTTGTTTTTGTCGTATGTTTACTAGAGCAATATTTATAAGGCAAAAACTTTTGACGTGCGTTTAACGATTTTTTAATTACCCCGAAAACTCCCTCTAAACATAGAAGTAGAGACACAAAATTTGCACAGAGGTGATATTTCCTACGAGCCCACCTGCCCTGTAATTTTGGCGTTTCTAAGTGCCATAGAATCGTCATAGCCAATCGGCAGACTCTCCGTTATGAAAACGGCCCGGGGCTGGCGAGGGCTTAACTTCATCAAAAACATCGCCGATTTCGGATGGGCATAATCTGAAATAAGACGTCATAATTCATTGCTACTGGAAACTTAAACCTTTATGTCCAAATAATGAATGCAAAGCTAAGCTCAATTCCAGGCCCATCCATCCATGCGCTCTCTTGATAATCGGAAAAAAAAAAACATTGGGAGAGTCGGCATCATGAAAGTCAGGTGCCAGTGAGGATTAAATTATCACCAAGCCATCTATAATTCTATAGTGAAGCAAAACAAATATCGATGTAGGAAAATAGTTTGTCTCCGGCCCAGTAGCCGCTGCCAGACCTTCTTCTGCCATCAGAGCCATGGAGATGACCTCCACCTTTCTGGATTTGCGGGCCGTTCCAGATAGTGTGCCCATAGCGGTGCTAACAGTGCCATCAATCTCTGCCCTTCCGAAAGGGACGGCCCCATCGGAGTTGGTTTGGCCGGCCAATGGCTGCCCAGTTACCGGCTCCGTCAACCAGCAGCGCCATGCATTCTGCAGGCGCCCGTGCCGGCGAGCCCGGCGGCGGCCACCCTCTGGGGAGCCGGTCACTGAGCCAGCGCTGCCGCGCGCACCAGGCAGTTACTGACGACCTTTGGCTGCCGCCCGGCCGGCCGACCAACCGGCTTCCGGGGTGGCTGGGTCGTCAGTCCCACTGCCAACCCCACTCCAGTCGAGCTCCCCTTCTGTCCCACCCCCACTCCGGTCCCACTGCCTCCGGTCCCATTCCCATTCTGGTCCCACTCCCACTTTGATCCCACTCCGGTCCCACTCCCACTCCGGTCTTACTGCCTCCGGTCCCACCCCCACTCCGGTCCCACCCCCACTCCGGTCCCACCCCCACTCCGGTCCCACTGCCTCCGGTCCCATTCCCATTCTGGTCCCACTCCCACTTTGATCCCACTCCGGTCCCACTCTTCCCCATCAGATCGTTACCGGGCCACCGAGCGGCTGTGTGCAAACAGCTTCAGTCTGCAGTGGCAACCTGGCATGGCTGGACAAAAAGTCGTCAAACATACAATGTCCGATATTTAGTAAATTGCCACACTGATCAATTCCTTTTATTACAGATACAATATTTTAAATTACACAGACATTCCAAAGGTCCTCAATGCGAAAAAAGATTGATTTGCAAAGCAACGAAGTCCTGTAAATCACCTTAAGTTGGGCCAAACGCTTATTGGTGGGGCAAAAATGGCAAGTTGGTGGGGCAGCTGCTCTACAGACCGTATAGGAAGCTCCGTCTCTGCAACCTGAACGCCATCTAGCCCCCGGACCAGAAACTCAAATATAGCTAGGCAACACAGGTGGATATTTGCGACCGACATCACATAGCCTGAACCAAGGCTATACCTAACTTATATCAGGTAGAACGCTCCCGACGAAAAAGTGGCGAAAAAATGATAACCACGACTGCAGGGACTAAACATCCTCAGTTCGCCATGGTAACGGGGCAAATTTGGCATGGGTACCTAATCAACTAAAAACTCATTTTTCAAAGACTTATTTCAGACATAAGGAAACCAATTTATCGTACCAGAAAAAGAATTACCTACCTACAGTTTTCATACCAAACATACCGGCCAGACATGGTCTAAAAGAACAGGTCAGCGGTCATAGGTCCTTTGGATCAGAGTCATCAAATTTCAAAAGACCTATGTGTTAAATTACTTAAACTCGAAGCTAGCTACTGAAAATTTCGTCACAAATGGTCGCTTTTTAGCGCGAGTTATTCGCAAAAAAAGCTGAGGGAGATGGGTCAGTTGTGAGACGGCTGCTATGAAAATAGCTCGAAATCCTTTTTTGTTGGGTTAGGCCCTTTTGGTCTGACAAGACCATTTCAGAGCTGGGAGAATGATAGGAATTAGAAGGAGACATTGGTCTGAGCAGGCTCCCTAGAGAGTCAACGGGGCTGAGCCGACCCCTCCGAATGGACTGCAGCCGACCAGCCCCCCCCCCCCCCATCCCCCCATGTACTCTCTGCACCCGGATACGGGTGTGCTCCGCTGGGAGCAGCTGTGCCGCTCCTAGGGAGCAGCCCGTAAGAGATTAAGTTGCCAGTCCAGCCTGGACTGAGGGTTGCGGCGTGGAGAAGGAATTGAATGTCCTGAGGATGGAAACGACGGACGGATGCTCGAAATCCATGCGTCCTGGCCCTATAAGCCAAAGGTGGCCATTAGCGCGAAGGAAAACAAAGGTAGTTAGTGCATAAAGCAGCAGATAACAGCAGCGGTCCAGCCGGGAAGACTGGTTCGTCCTGCTCCACTTTTTTTTTTTGCCGTCTTACCGGTCTTACCCCACGTTCCCCTACATACCCGGACGTAGTAGTAGCCGTACGGGTGGAACGTCTGCTCGAAGCTGTGCTCGATGCGCCGGCCGCCGCCCAGCCGGCCATCCAGCAGGGGCCGCCACATGCGGCGCAGCGCGCTGAACAGCCAGCCGTTAGAGAAGCGGCCCCCTAGCGTCGGCGGCGGGAAGCTGTTCACCGGGTGACTGTCGTGGTTGCCGACAGCGGGCAGCACCAGCGCGCGCGGAAACACGCGCCGGAGCAGGTCGGTGACCGCCTGGTTGGCGGCCACCGTCTGCCGGCGCGTCACCTCGTGCACGTTGTGGGCCGAGTTGTCCCCCGACCAGAGGATGTAGGCCACGTCCTGGAGCGACACAGAGCGGTGGCAACGTGAGGGGCGCCGCCTGCTGGGGCAGAGGGCGCCGCCTGCTGACACAGAGGGCGCCGCCTGCTGACACAGAGGGCGCCGCCTGCTGGGGCAGTGGGCGCTGCCGTCTGGGGCGGAGGGCGCCGCCTGCTGGGGCGGAGGGCGCCGCCTGCTGAGACAGAGGGCGCCGCCTGCTGGGGCAGAGGGCGCCGCCTGCTGGGGCAGAGGGCGCCGCCTGCTGGGGCAGAGGGCAGCTGTGTTGCGTGGGGCAAGGGACAGAGGTGGTACTGTGTATTGTAAGAAAGATGTGGGACAGTGGTTCGGGCGCGTAGGGCAGGACCAGGGGACAGGGGTCCTGCCGTGTAGGACAGGGACAGGGGCTGGCACAAATGGACTCGGCAGGGCCTAAACCAACGGGGCGGGACAGCCACCTAAATTGATAGTCGGATACTCAGTTCTTTCCATGGATTGCCATAGGCATGGTCATTTACAGGGTGTCCCATGAGTTCATTTTTACATTAAATTTGCATGTATTTAAAATTAGGTATATTATATTTTCATATATTTGTGATCACCCAACGTGCTACCCATGGCCCATTCCTGGGCAAGCAAATGGATACACGAGTGGCATGTCAGCTGTCATGTTTCGCAGCGTAGCAGACTTGATCTTAGCCAAGGCTGACTTGGCATGCGCCGTGAACTCCTAGAGGCCTCGCTTCGACGAGCTCCGATGTCAGTATTCCCAACATATTGTTATTTAAAGGGACTATCCCACCTTTAACATGGGGTTTGAGTTGAGATAGCCAAGTTTGCGGCGAGGTTCAGAAACCACTATCTATCTAGGTTGCAACCCCCGCGGCCTCTTGGTGTTGAAGAAATTCGTTCCCTTCATTTGAAAATGGGCCTTGTACAAGGCCCTATTTTCAACATGGAGCGACCGTTAGTGTGACGTCACCTCGTTTAGTCATTCTGATTTAAATGGGTTTGTTCGTTGAAAAATCGCTTAAAACTTGGTCTGAACTTTGTTGTGGTGCCTACAGAGTAAAAAGAATCAGCTTTATGACAGTAATGTGGCCTGGGGAAGCAGGTAATTTTGGGCTTTGACGTCACATATTTGAAAGTTTGTGTTTGGAATATGGGAAGCCTAAGATGTTTAATGAAAAATAAATGCCAGAACCGTGTTCCTGGTCATCCAATCTATAAAGTCGGGCACAATTTAACTGGTTTTAACAACATTTTAGAAGGTGGGATAGTCCCTTTAATTTGGATCCGATGACTTGCCTGAGATGTGTTCTTGCCACAGACGCCTGTCACAGTCTCCTGACGCCACTTTTGAGCTTTTCTTGACCTCTGCGACGATGCTCTGTCTTGCCTGAAGATAAGCCTTCGACTTACCTGAAACCATTTCCCCCCCCCCCCCCCAAAAAAAAAAACTGAGGCCATAATGGTGGTTCAAGTAAAGCTAGAAAGTAATGATTTCTCCTAGATCTCCGTGGTGAACCAGTCTGCATCCAAAAACTGTGTCTGGGATACCTCGTGCAATTTAAGTCAGCACCTGGGCGCCTACAACAACACCGTGGCCCTGGTTATTTACATAACGGACCGAAACAGAGGCTTTCTCCTTCACCGTTATTAGACCGTTTTGGTATTTGGACCAGTGTTTCATCTCTAACATGAGCAAGTTAGTCCAGATGACCTGACTGGTGTCCTCAGTGCTCCAGCTTTTGAGCCTCAGGCATCACGAAACTTATTTTTAACCATTTTAACACAATTTCGACTGTTCTGAGCACTCCGGCAACTTTTAAGCTTAACCCGCGCCCGTATGGGCGGAAAGGGAGGGTCGAACGGACCCCCTCGTTTTTTCGCAAATAACTCGCGAATAAAGCGGCCGATCGCGACGACTTTTTCAGTACCGTAAACGGGGGTGACTTTGCCTCGCCGGGTGACTTTGCCATGCTTCTCGAAAAATGCTTTAGGGAGATCTCCCATGATATTTTACGAGGAATGTAGTAATGTTTTATGCACAAATGAAAGGTAATTAATGGGCCTCCCAATATAACTAACACTGATAGGTAAGTTACCACTAAATACCTAACTGGGCTCCATTTTATTGGAGTCATTGAAATGGTCAAATTTGAAGAATTCCAAACTTTTTATTATCTAACCATGTCTTAGACCACCTGCGATGCTGAAGCTTGGTATGGTTGATCATGACAAGGCTGTTAAGTTAGCATATCCAACAAAACTGGCATTTGTCACTTCATTTAGCTAAAAATTTTGGTGGCGATTTTTCCAAGTGAATAGCAGGCCACATGGGGTGACTTTGCCACCATGTTATTTATGCAAAAATTGAATACTTATCCGATGCAATTCAAAATAATTTAAATGTAGCATCATTTTGACCTCCAAACTGGTTTTAAAAAAGTGACAGTTTATACGTTTAAAATTGGCACAGGAATGCACAGTGGGAGTAAAGAAAGGCAAAAATTACCTAACTCAAAAAAATGGACGAAGCTGGGCCCAACTTTTCAGCACAGTCATGATCATCCTACAACTCCTGAGTTTGCCAGTAAGACTAGCTGAAGAAATCGGTATCATTTTATAGATCAAAACGCTGATAATAAGGGTGCCGGTAAGTTGCCGCAAGAACGTCTTCTTTCTGTTCCTCTCAATGCCGCTGGAGGAATGTGGCACGGTCCTAGAGTACCGATACAATCATAGTTTTGCTTATTTATCTATTCTGAACCATTTTTCAGTTTCCATTTACTATCAATGTCAATAATTTTCAACAAATATAATGTATTATAAAAGCAATGCATATCTTCTTTTTTGTACATCATTTAAGAGCAAAAAACATCGAATTGCTTCATTTTTTTCTATTTGCGGTGTTTGCGTTTTGCGGCGGACGGGCGTTTTTTGCGGCTTTTTTTGCGGTTTTCTGCGGTTTTCGACGGGCGGGCGATTGTTTCTTTTTTTGCGAAGTTTGCGTTGGCGTTTTGCGCGTTTTGCGGTGTTTGCGTTTTGCGGCGGGCGGGCGGTTTTTCACAATTCAAGTCCCAACCTTCGGATCCGCAGTGCTGTTCGACAAGCGCTGCCCGGGCCCGCCTTACAGTTTAATTAAAAACAGCTACCCAAATCTACCCAAATAATACAGCTAAAAATACAAGTCAATCACCCAAACTAATGCACCCGTAACATAACATAAATCAAAACATACAGTTATCGCGTAAATCTGTACCTCTAGTTTTCTTAAAAACATTATAGGTATTTTTAGGCAAGATATAAATACGATAATAGCAAAACCAAAAGAGCTAATCTTCATCCATGTTTTGAACATAGAGTCATCCCAACAAGTTAAGAAGTGTACAGAATACAAGCGTCTAAAGTTGAAAACATGGCAAAGTCACCCCCGTTTACGGTACCCTCGCGAATTTTACACCTACCCTGAAAATGTCATGGCCTTGACCCAAATGACCTTTGACCTGTGCTTTATTTCTCGAGACCATGCTTGGCCGGAATCGCGATTCGGCGTATGCCGGCTCGCATTAGCCGCGTGTTTGCTGTCTTTACATGGTTTCAAGCGTTCAAACATGTGATATGATGTTGGTCCCATGCAGTAGCGGCGGAACACCTTCAAGTAAGGGGGGGGGGCACCCGACTTTTGGTCCCATTCTTTCCATGCAACGCCCATAGGGCTAATGTTAAAATGCCAAAATCAAAGGGGGGCAAGGTGCCCCGGTGCCCTCCCCGTTCCGCCGCCTATGGTCCCATGCATTAGGGTGGGTGTCAAGGTCACTAGAAAAAGTCACGACGTTCTAATTGCTAACAGGTCCCGATTTTCCCGACGTTTGGGTCATTGACCTGACCTGGAAGGGCAACCAATGAACTAGGACCTTAAAATTGGGTATCCTCGGCTTTGTCTCGTCACGGGCAACACGCTCGTGTTTTCGTGAAGCTCTAGCTCGATCAGAGGCCAAACGGCAAGGGGGTGTCTAACGGACCTTTCTCCTCCCCAGTTATACGTTCACGGCTGGCAAACCATCAATACGGACGGAAGTTAAGTCACTTTGAGTTATATACCCCATCAAAGGAATGCTCTTAGACAGCTGGTAATCCATCCTGTAGAGCCTGGTTATCAGGTACCTAAAGCTCTCACCTTTATGACAGCCGCTTTGGCGCCACACAGTTTTGGCCACTTGGCTCACTTCGGAGGGTTGACTGGAAAGAGTATGAACTTACAGTGAGTGGCTCCCGACAAATCATCGGCATCACAAGATGACTCTGAGTCTGCACCCAATTAGCTACGGACATGTTAGCTACCCAATGTTGCGCCATCGGACGTCTCCACAAAACTGGACTCTAGCAAAAAAGGAAAAAGCGCGATTTGTCTAGAAAAAGTCATTGTGGAGCATATTGCCAGTTGCCATGGCAACTACATAAGCTAATTTACAAATTACTTTGAGCGTGTCGTAAAGCAAGAGAACGCCTCAAAGTAAAATTTAGGTGTGAACGAACTTATGGGACACCTTGTATATCAAAAGCCTCGGGCTGTATGGCATGGCACAAGACAAGCAGCTGGGTTCCTGAATGGGAACATACCGCCAAGTCCTGCCCAAGCGGCGGCCGCCGGTGCCCACCTGGACAGTGGACGGCCGCCGAGGGGCACTAGAACACGCGGCACGGATGTCAGGAGAGCATATATGGAGCAACGTCGGGACTGCAGTTCGTACGTGAGTGACCATTGCTTACCGATAAGCGGGTCAATCATGTGCTCGGATGGCATGCATTTTAACCGCTCACTTGTAACCTATGGTCGCGCACACGCCCGACCGAGTGTCAGCCGATAGACTGCGACATTTGGGAAGGCAGTCCCGGCTCCGCACGTGACCTCCAGCGCACATGCAGTTACGCACATTAGAATATCACTTACGAGGATAAATAATTGACAATTCGATGCGCACATAGCCAAAGACGTAGCCAGTGACCATGAGACAGTGACTGCTATTAGCCCGCGCACTGCTGGTACCAGAGGCGGTGCTTCACCCCCCCCCCCCTCTAAGACGTTTCTTGGTGAACAGATCTGCAGGGGGCGGCAGGTGGCTGCCCGCTGCAGGCCCCGTTAGGCGTGCTGAGCCGTCAGTCCCCGGCTGTGTTACGGCCGGCGCCCGGCCCCTGTGGACAGGGTGCCGCGCTCTCACCGGGTGGGTGGCCCGGACGTGGACAGGGTGCCCCGCTCTCACCGGGTGGGTGGCCCGGACGTGGACAGGGTGCCCCGCTCTCACCGGGTGGGTGGCCCGGACGTGGACAGGGTGCCGCGCTCTCACCGGGTGGGTGGCCCGGACGTGGACAGGGTGCCCCGCTCTCACCGGGTGGGTGGCCCGGACGTGGACAGGGTGCCCCGCTCTCACCGGGTGGGTGGCCCGGACGTGGTGCAGCAGCGACACGAGCAGCGCCGGCGGCGTGTCGCACTTCTCGTACGTGCCCCACATCCCGGCTCTCAGCTTGTGCATCTTCGGAAACCCTGCAGCAAAGACCAGGCACACTGATACACACCAAAATCGTTTATGCAAGCTCGTCCGATCAGCAGGGGAACACTGGTTGCGGCGTATGAGGGCTCCTGGGTTTCCAGCCCTGCTTGCTAAGGCCGCGGGTCTCTCGCCTGTCACCAGGTCAGGTAGCCCCTTCTAGGTCTTTCGCAGATAGCGTAAAAATGACGGCGCGTAGTGCCACCGAAGTTGATATGCCTATGGGATGTTCCATTCTTTTGGCACATTTTATGGAAATGAAGTACCAGGCTTTTCAGGTTAGTTGACCAGTTACAGAAACCGGTACATACTTGGACAGCGATGCTAGTTCACCTAGTGTGATTAGTGATTCATGAGCCAGGATCCAGTTGATCGCGCCACGCTGAAGGCTATTCAGACACCACCTGAGGCGGTTTCCGCACGTGTCTAAAGATCAACGGCGGCATGCAGTGCCAGTAGTCAGGGGCCCGGGAACGATTTTCAAGTTGGGGGGGCGAGCCTAAAATGCCTGACATGATGCATATGAAACAGTGGCGTAGCTAGGGGTCTAAGGGGACACGTACCCCCCCCCCCCCATCGGGATAAAAGGGACCCTCGGGTCCGAGGCGCCTTGCGGCGCCATTTGACCGCTGAGGGTACGATAGCCATATTTCTACTCAGAAGGGCCCCATGGGGCTCGTTAGAGCACCTCATGGGCCCAAAATAGCCACACTAAGATCTCCATAAGGGCCCCAAGCCGGCTTCTGAGGGCCTATTGCGGCTCTTAAGGGCCCTCGGTGGTCTCCAAAGGCCCGTTACTGGCCTCTGAGAGGTCTTACCGGCCTATGAGGGGCCAGTTCTAGGGGCATTGCCCGCCTGTGATGGTCCCACACTTATTTTTCTGAGGGCCCCATAACGGCAACTGTGGGGCCCTCTTCAGCGCCTATGAGGGCCCACACCGGTGTCTCTGAGGGTTTCACACCCCCAACTCTGAGTGCCTATACACCATTGCCTATTAAAGCCCTATATCGGCGGCTCTGAGGACCCAACCAACACCTGCGCATCTAAAGGCCACACACTGGTGACTTTTGAGGGCCCACACCGGTGACTCTGAGGGCCCCACCGGCGTCTGACAGTACCATGCCGGTCTCTAAGGACCCCACAGGACTTCTTCTGCCGGGCTAAGGACCCCTTGCCGGTCACTGAGTGAGACCCCCTGCCGGCTTGTAGAGAGTTCGCGTCAGCAGCTCTAAAGGCCCCACACCCGTCTGTAACGGCTCCACACCAGCGTCTATGAGGGCCCACAGCAACGCCTGTAAGGACCCTCATCGGCGCCTCTGAGAGAATTACACTAGCACCTCTGAGCGCCCACACCGGCACCTGCATGGCATTGCGTATTTGGAATTTCCGACCTCGACGAGCGTCTGTGGTAGAAAACCACCACTTTGGTAGGGGAAACTACTGCTGTCTGCTACAATTTGCACTGCATGTCAAGCTATTGTAGCGACATCTATGCATATATGTACATTTCCGACCTCTACGAAAATCTCGCGGCGCTTCGCACCGACCCGCGCCGCCCATTCATACTGGAGACCAAAAGAGATTATGAGTTCAGAGTTGTGACAAGTACCTAAAGCAACCACCACGTATGATGTAGGTATACCAGTTAACTATCAGATCGACGGCATGTGTCAACAATTATACACTGATAGAAGACCGGAGGCTCTGGTTAACCGTGTAAAAATGAATACTTCAGACGCGTACCGCGTAGGAATTCAGCCCAGTATCGTTGAACAGATAATGCATCGGCCTGAAAAAGTACGGTAACGATACCTAATTTTGGGTTTTTAGTCGGCCGATCCGTCCCCCTGGCCCTGTCGAAAATCTGTGGCGACGCCCCTGGCACGGAGGACAAAAGTACGTATCGCAAATGTTCGTACAGTATAAAGTACGCATGGACAAAACTACGTCAAGGACAAAAGTACGCATGGCAAAAGTACGTACAGTATAAAGCACGAATCAGGGGCGTAACTTTATATCTCTTTGGGGGGGCTTGAGCCCCCCCCCCCCCCTCCCTGTGCTGAACTGAGCCCCCCTTGGGAAGCTTAGAGCCCCCCTTGATTAATTTTTAATTCTTGACAAAACACACAAATAGCAAAACACTAACATCCAATTCCCCCATTTTCCACCATATAGGTACATGAGTTTCCAGGTTGGGGGATGATCATGGACTTGTAAACAAAAGTGAACGACGGAGGCGAAGAAGCGGACACTGTCGCTGTACTCACCCGAAGACCCACCAGGTCACCACGCTCTGCCTCGGAAAGCCGCCCCGACGGAAGTCCACGGATCACCTCCCCGTGTCCGTGGCAAAAAAAAACGAAGGGTTCGTTTCGTCCGTTTGACCCCCCCCCCCCCATACGGGCGAGGGTTAACATGAGCCCCATGGGCGTTGCATGGAAAGAATGGGACCAAAAGTCGGCATTGCCCCCCCCCCCCCCCTTAAATGAAAGTGTTCCGCCGCTACTGGGTAGATGTGGATCGGTGGTTAAACCTGCGCCTGGGTTGAGTTTCAGTCAGCTTCTCCGTCGTGAGGGCGTCCCATTATTTCAGAGGTTGAGATAAAAAGATTCGTAAAAAGCGATCGACTGCTCCGAACAAATGGGTCCCTCCAACAATGCCTAGGCCAATTTTTGTATTTCCTGCTTACTTCTCCATTGTCCCTTCGTAATATCACAGATATAAAATCCGAATTACACGAATTGCTTGCGCTGTTACCTTTACATTACTGTGCAGTGCTGCAGAGTCGATTGATCGACTCTTACTGTACCATTGACAACAGGTATGCCTCCTAAAACCCACAGCACGGTAAAACTGACTTGTGGCATGAGCCTTTTTCTTTTGACTGAATGTTTCTTGACCAGTGGCGGATCCAGAAAGCGGTCCTGGACGCTACAGATTAGGGATATCCATAAAAAGTTTCTTCAATTTCCAAAAAACTCGCCGTGTGCGAGTACAAGTTTTCCAAAAACTCGTATATAGGTATATAGTGGTCTATGGCATTACCTATCAGACTGGTGGCACACGTACACGGCGAGTGGCAACTTCCAATTTCCAAAAACTTTCGATTCCTTACGCACTGCTGAGTGCTGAGCAGTTTAAAACAAACTCAAACTTCTATGGATATAAGCTATACGGTTGAAAGGGCATATTTTTTCATATATGCAAGGCCACTTGACTTGGTGCAGATCAGACCTTAGGTGCTCTGGCATTAAACTTGTTACACAGGCTGCAAAAGTCATGTTTTAGAGCTGTTTTGCCAAGTAATTTTGCCAATTTTCGCGGCGCTTCGCGCCGCCAATTCATACTCCAGTCAAAAACAGATCGTGAGTTGTGCCCCTCGTTAAGTACCCTCATCAAGCATGTGATAAAGCACCCTCACACGCAGACGCAGGCATGTATATGCATTACAATAGACGACCACTATATATCGTACATATACACAGTGTATATAAATACAGTGGCGGCAAATGCGCTTGGTCACGTGACCAAATATGCGCGTGCGGTTGTGGCGAGGGCACTTCCCGAAACTGGTGCCAACGGCCTCGCGGCGCCCATAGAGAATACATGGGGCCTTTTCTTTTCCGACCTATCGTGTCTAAACCAAGCCATTTACAGGGTGTAACGAAATTATCCAGACATCTATTTTTTCGCCATATCTGCTCGCACAGTTTCTCTTTTAATGTCAGAAGCTGGAAAATTGGATGAATGCATACCTCTGGTATCTGCTCTCAACTCAGCAGTGACCTGACCTTGCGAAATGACTTGCTCTGAGTAAGAGTCGAGTCGCCGACGGGTTCATTTGATAGTTTTCGTTTAAGGCAGTGGAGAGAAAGGAGTACAGTCTCTCGTTTCGTAGTAAGGCTACGTGTTGGTGGCATGGTGGCATGAGCCAGAAGCTGGTCTGTCAGCAGCTGGACATCAGCAGCAGCCAGTAGCACATCTGCCTGAGGCGTGATAAGCTGGGACTTGGTGGCAGACTCAGCCCGGCCTCGATCGCAAAAGGCGCCCTTTGCCAAGTGGTGAGGAGAGTTGTCAAGATAGCGACAAGGAAACGGCACCAATTAATCCGCATACTGACTCGAATTCTTACCAAGGTAGATAACCAGTAAAACGCCTTTTGGGCGAAGAACGAGCGAGCGAGATAGTGAGCCCTGCACGTGCGGAAGGGCGAGAGGGTGCTTCCAACGGGCTTGCGCAAAGCACCCTTCTAACCGGTCGCTAGCGGTGTGCCAAATTTGAACGCAATCGGCCCAGCCGTTCCTGAGATCTGGAAGCAGCATTCTGCACGTGCGCACGTGCAAACGGGGTCCAAAATGACTTTTGCACGGCACCCTACTAACTGGTCCCCAACCGTGTACCAAATTTGAGCGCAATCGGCCCAGCCGTTCTCGAGATCTGGAAACGCCCCCTGCACGTGCGCACGTGCAGTAGCACCCTAACCCCAACACATGGGAATGCATTGCCTGGTGGGTGCCTACCTGTATGCCAAGTTTCAGCGAAATCGCCCCAGTAATTACCGAGCTACTGAAATGGGAACAAATTTGGCACCTCTTATTGTTGTATTTTGCACGTGCACTGGGGGTGACCCACATGCATCGAGAGTATCCTATTTTGGGTAGAAGTGATGCTGCTACCCTACAAAAATTACCGCAAGTCAATCGCCCAAGCGGCTGCTGAGATATGAGCCTCTCAAAATCACTACTTTTGCAAAACAGCTTGAACACCCTTGACTTTTCACGTGGCACGTGCCACGACGGTCACTGAGATGTATCAAAAGTAGTCAATTACGGGGTAGAAGGGATGGGGCTACCCAACAAAAAAGACCGCAGGCCAATCGGTCCAGCGGTTGCTGAGATATAAGCCTCTCAAAAGCGTTACAGGCCGGGCCGGGCCGGGCCGGGCCGGGCCGGGCCGGGCCGGGCCGCTCATACTGAGATTTTTCCGTTATATTGAA